ATTCATTTATTTTTTATTGGAAAGGCAGGTTTGAAAAGAAAAGGAGAGACAGAGAGAAAGATCTTTCAACCACTGGTTCACTCTCCAAGTGATCACAATGGCTGGAGCTAAGCTGATATGAAGCCAAGAGATAGGAGCTTCTTCTAGGTCTCCTAAGCAGGTGTAGGGTACCAAGGCTTTGGGACATCCTCTACTGCTTTTCCAGGCCAAAAGCAGGGAGCTGGATGGGAAGTGGAGCATCTGAACTTGTGCCCATATGGGATTCTGGCAGTTTCAAGGTGAGGATTTAGCCACTAGGCCATCACACCAGTCTCACAGCTTTTTTTAAAGGAACATATTCAATTGCCTGATAGACATATGAAAAATTACTCAGGGGAGAACCAAAATGGCAAAATAGGATAAGGGCACATTTAAACAAATGGAGAATTATTAGCCAAGGTAAAGCAGAGAGGGCATGTTTCAGGAAATAGTAAGGACAGGCCGACTGCAGAGGGGCACTTGGAGATGGCAGATGTTGGAAAGCAGTGACGACAACAGTGTGATGTTGCAGCGACCAGAGACCTCTTTGGCAGTCAGTGAGTAGTGATTTAAGCTTCATCGGGGTTAGGAACTCCAGCAGCAGCCAGTGGAAAGGGGAGGTCGCCAAGAGCTCAGGAGGTGAATCCAGGGAAAGAACTGCCCATCCTGTTGATTTAACTTGACTGGAAAAATACTGACTTCGTTATCCTGTAATCAAAATAGGTCTGGGTGGCCCTCAGACCTAACAACAAGCAGGTTCCAGCAAGATCAGCAGCACCAGCAACCTAATTATTTAGGGCACCAGATGTCTTTCTAATCCTGCAAATTGCTTGAACAAGAAATGGGAGAAAGGTTGTAAGACAATGGTGCAGCCACAGCATGGGATCACAGGAGGTGGAGAGTGCTGAGCCTGGAGCTGGGACTTTGGAGACCATGGTGCAAGTCCAACACAAGAGCCCAGACCTGGAACCCGCTGGAGGGAGTGTCACTGGTGACTGCAAACCAAGAACCAGGCACAAAATGCAATAGATAAAACAAAACTGTAGACCTGTGGGTGACACAGGTTAGAAACCTGTCCTAAGGAGAAGAATCTGATAACCAGAAGCACAATAACCAAGACACAAAGTCATAATGGATAATACTGATGACTCCTCTGCAAAGGAGAAAAATGCTTTGCCAACCTTATAGTTAACTGAAGAATATATCCAAGAAATGGGGGATAAAGAACTTAAAAAACTTACTAAAAAGCTTCTTATCAATGAGAAGCACATACAGGAGTCTAATGAATATGTCACACAGCAAACAGCAACATTGAAAAAAAATCAAGCAGAATTATTAGAAATGAAGGACACAATGGAGCAAATTAAAGGTGGATTCCCATGGGAGGGTGTCGGGGCTGGAGTGGGGGCTGCATTATGGTCTGGATATGGCTACAATCTCCCTTGGCACAAGTGTGGACTGGGCCTGGGTGCGCCAAGCCATGCTAGACGCCAGCATAATCTGGTACTCCGGAGAACCTGGATAGATGTAGAGCAGACTAGGCTGGGTCTCTGCCCCTACTAGCCATGTGTGAGCAGTATCTGGGTTTGGACAAGCCTTGGCTGGGGTGAAACATCGAACACCAAGAACTGGTATGGATTGAAGGCCAACTTTGGATCAATGAAATCAACAATATTTCAGAACTATCAAAACTACTTACATGTTTCACATCGAGGACCCTGAGATAACATCGGGTGGCTGTCTCTCATTCCCAGCAATTCATATGGTTAGGCTGCTGGGAGAGCCCTCCCTTCCTCTCTCCAGAATCCCAAGTTACAGGAGGAAAAAAATTGAAAGCAATGTTTCACCCACTTTCTGTCGTTCCTTGGCCCTCTTCACCCTGATCGGTGGTCCACATGGATATATACTTCTCAACTATGTAAACATTACCAAATATAAAATACTTTTATTATTAAAAAAAAGAATGTTGGGCTTGGTATGATAGCCTGGTCGCTAAAGTCCTTGCCTTGCATGTGCTGGGATCCCATATGGGCATGAGTTTATGTCCCAGCCACCCCACTTCCCATCCAGCTCTGTGTTTTTGGGCTGGGAAAGCAATCTAGGATGACCCAATGCCTTTGGACGCTGTATCCATGTGGGAGACCCGGAGAAAGCTCCTGGCAGATCAGCTGAACTCCAGCCATTGTGACCACTTGGGAGTGAATCAGCAGACGGAATATCTTCCTCTCTCTCTCCTCCTCTGTATAGCTGCCTTTCCAATAAAAATAAATAAATCTTAAAAAAAGAGAGAATGTTTCTGGCATACTCCAGACGATGCCCTGTTAATTTTTTTATATATTATTTTTATGACTCTCCTATTGTCACTGAAGCAATGCAAGCCAACATTTTCCATTTCCTTTTGGAATGGAGGAAAAGCCAGTTCTTTGGGTTGGTCCCTAGTAATTCCTACTCCCAAGTTTTCCTCTTCACATTCTCCTGGGGGAATGTGTTTAAGCAACTGAGATGAACAGAGAACTGTGCAGAAAGCTGTCCTTCCTTGGAGATTTCATTGCCAGGAATTGGGAACGGTCATGTAGCCAGGGAGAGGTCTCTGAGGATTTCTGAAAAGAGGCAATTTTCTTTAGTCACAAATGAGGGGGGAGTAGAGTGGGTAGAGGTGAGGAGTGGCAGGCAATAAAACGTGCCAGCCACAGGCTGGACCTGGCCCAAAGAGGGGTCTTTGCAGGTGAGTATCTATACCAACTCCCGTTGAGAGATCTCTCACCTTCCCTGGGAGCCCACTGCCATCCTTTATACCTGTTGGTGGGAGGAAGGATGCGTATTCTTTCTGTGTTCTAATGACTTTATGGAAGGCTTTTCTGAACTCCTAACATTTTTGCCATGTTTTTAAGGTGAAGTTTTTCTCCCAGGTTTTACTGTCTTCCTTCTCTTACAATCTATTTTCTTTCCGTTTTAATCTAATGTGTATCTCCAAAGTCTTTCCATATCCTTTCTGGAAAGTACTGTATATATTCTGCCTGTGAGGAGCTCTGAACTCCTCAGTCAGCTCTTATTTTCTCAGAATGGGGGATTCCCGAGTAGTTCTCTGTTACATTTCTCGTGTGTGTCCTAAGATCCTCCATTTCCCTTTTCAGACTCCTTTTCTTCAGCGTGATGTAGGTACATCCACTTCCCTGCACTGAAACAGATCTTTTGTAGATCTAACTTGCTAATTAACGTCTATTCCTAGGTGGCAGAATCTGTTGATCAAGGATATACATTTTCAGATTGGAACACTGGAAGCCTGCCTGGCATCATTGGTTCTGTGACTTGCTTTCTGTTATCCAATGCTTCATTACGTTGGTTTACCCTGATCTGTCTCTTTCATTCTCTTTTTCATTATTTCTCTTGAGGTTGAGAATTGTTGTGTGTTTTATTTGCCTTCTGAAATACTGGGTTCTGTAGCCATTCATTTTCTGCCAATGATAAAATTAGAGAAGACTTGGGATGCGCTTTTTGGCATAGTGGGTTAGGTCACTTCTTGGGATGTCCACATCTCATATAGCAGTGCTAGACTGAGTCTGTTTCCAATCCAGCTTCCTGATAATGCTCACACTAAAGGCAGCAGTGGGTCCCTGTTAGTCATGTGGAAGACCCAGATGGAGCTGCTGATTTTGGCCTGGCTCAGTCCTGAGTGTTGTGGACAATTGGTGAGTGAAAGAAATGATTTTCTCAATGTCTCTTTACATATATTTTTAGAAAGATGGTACAGTCATTGATCTTTTTGAATGTAGGGAGACTTGAAGAATGGCCAAAATCTCCTGAAACTGACTGTGTTGTCCTAGACCTCTCTGGGTGCTGGAGGAATCACATGTTACTGATGATATCCAGTAGTTAGAGACTTTCAGACAGTGGCAAAAGTCATCCTTGCCCACAAATCACAGTTTCCACGTACATTTTCCCAAGGTTTTGGGCCATTCTCCACTGCTTTTCCAGGCCACAAGCAGGGAGCTGGATGGGAAGTGGGGCAGCTGGATTAGAACCGGTGCCCATATGGGATCCCAGTGCACACAAGGTGAGGACTTCAGCTGCTAGACTATTGCACCCCACACTGCAGTTTTAAAGATAATATACCCTGACATATTTTCTGCCAGTCTTAGGGATTATTTAAAATGATTCAGTAAAAAAGTCTTCATTGTGCACATTAACCATTAAAATGTTTTAAACATCTCTTTGTTTGCATGTTATCTTTCCATGTGATTATACCGCAGCTATTCCTTTATGTTAGGCATCTGTGTTGTTCCCACATTTTATTTATTAGGCTTTTAAGAAGTATTTCAAATTTAGGTATTTGCAGAGAAAAAAATAATAAACCTCCTGTTGTCTCAGAGTCCTACTTGTGAAATGTACAAAATGATCATGTCTTTTATGGCAATTACGAGGAGCATATGGGGGTGTGCAGCACCGTGCTTGGTGTTGAGCAATGCTCAGCTGTCACCAATTTTATACCCTTAGCCATTGCTTATGTTAGCGCATTTAATCTCCAATACCACCTTGTAGGAGTATCCCAATTTAAGATAAATCAGGTAACTGAAGCATAAAAATATTATAGAAAATGTCCAATTCATATAGCTGTTCAATGTCTGTTGCTTGAATACTTTTACTGAGAAAATCATTGAATGAGGCTAGAATTTTCATAGCAGAAGCAACTCTGAGGACTGGAAAAATAGGTTGTTCCTGGAAGAGACAGAAGCAACTTTCTAGTTGCAACAGCCAACTTAAAATTCACTTCTCCTTTGTGTGAACAAAGTCCTAAAAACAACCACTTGCATCTTTGTTACAGACTTTTTTCCTTAAAAAAAAAAAAAAAAGAAAAAAACAACTCATGTTTTTATTTCAAATCAAGTAACATTTAACAAGGACAATAAATTGAGCAAAGTCATGATGTGCTTAACGTTATGGCATTAAATTCAGGTCTCTTGTTTCTAGATCCCACAGGAACAATGGCCTGGGCAGGAAACCAGACTTTGATCTCCTACTTCATTCTCCTGGGCCTCTTTACCCACTCGCCACTGCACCTGTTCCTCTTTTCCATCATCATGGTCATGTTTCTGGTGGCCATCTCTGGTAACGGGCTGATGCTGTTCCTGATCAAAGTGGACTCACGCCTACACAGTCCCATGTACTTCTTCCTCAGCTGGCTGTCACTCATGGACCTCATGCTTGTGTCCACCATTGTGCCACGCATGGCTGTGGACTTCTTCCTGGGTGGTGGTTTCATCTCCTTCATAGGTTGTGGACTCCAGATACTCTTTTTTCTAACCCTCCTGGGTGATGAGTGTTTTCTGCTGGCCTTCATGGCCTATGATCGCTACGTGGCCATCAGCAATCCCCTGAGGTACTCAGTGGTCATGAGCCGCCGTACCTGTTGGCTTATGGTGGCAGGGTCCTGGCTCTTTGGTCTTGTGGATGGCCTAATCCAGGCCATCTTCACTCTCCGCTTCCCATACTGTAGCTCCCAGGAGATCGACCACTTCTTCTGTGAAGTTCCAGCTGTGCTGAAGCTGGCCTGTGCTGATACCTCGCTCTATGAGACTATGATCTATGTCTGCTGTGTCCTCATGCTGCTCTTGCCCTTTGGGGTCATCTCCACCTCCTACCTGCGCATCCTGGCAGTCGTCTTGCGCATGCGATCCACCGAGGGAAGGCGGAAGGCCTTTGCTACCTGCTCTTCCCACATGATAGTGGTCTCCCTCTTCTATGGTGCTGCCATGATCACCTACATGCGGCCCCAGGCCTACCACTCCTCCAAACAGGACAAGGTGGTCTCTGCTTTCTACACCATGATCACTCCTATGCTGAACCCTCTCATCTACAGTCTAAGGAACAGGGAAGTGACAGGGGCTCTGAGAAAGCTCCTGGGAAGATGTTCCTGTGGCAGTGGTCATGGGTAAGTCAGCGCTAGCACTGGGGGATGTGTGAACTGTGGCTTGGGAACTTGAACCACACAAGTGGAATTTGATTGGAGGAGAAATAAATGTGCTTTGTCAGGGATGAAGAGGATGAAACTGTTCTCAGAGTTAACCAGGTTAACGCATCATACCCATGTGAAGTGCGAGCGATGTACAAAGAAGGCTTGCTTGTAACACAGAAGCTTGATCTTCAGCTCCTGGGAAGGTCAGCACTCAATTTTGTCCTTCTCCAGGAATTGCCCTTGGCTTAGGAGAGTCACCCTGCACAAGATCATTTTGCCATGCTGGAGACTACCTGATAATCACAGACAGTGGACAGCATAAAGGTCTGGCCACATTGCTTCAGTTTGGACCCTGAAGGGACATCAAACACCAAAACTCCTACAGGTTCATCTTAAGTATCATCGGTAGTTTTTTCTTGTGTCTGATTCCAATTTTGAAGGTTCTCCTGCACGATAGGTTTCAATTCATTACATGCAAAGCAGATTCCGTTCTGTTCCTGGAAAATATGAACCTGACCTGCAGAAATTCGGCAATGGTGGCAGAAAGGGAAGAATAGAGATTGCTTGTTCAGTGTGAGAGGTGAGGTGGACTTGACAAGGAATTAAAAAAAAAGATTTATTAATTTTTATTGGGAAGGCAGATATACAGAGAGGAGAAGAGACAGTGAGGAAGATCTTCCGTCTGTTGATTCCTCCCCAAGTGACCACAACGGCTGGTACTGTGCCGATCCGAAGCCAGGAGCCTCTTCCAGGTCTCCCACACAGGTGCAGGGTCCCAAAGCTTTGGCCCATTGGTGACTGCTTCCCCAGGACACAAGCAGGGAGCTGGATGGGAAGTGGGGCTGTTGGGATTAGAACTGGTGTCCATATGGGATCCCGGCACATTCAAGGCGAGGACTTTAGCAGCTATGCTATCACGCCAGGCCCTTGACAAGGATTTCTAAAAAAGATGAAGGCATCTCTGATTTTTTCAGGAAGATGGTAAAATGCATTCCTGCATGGTTAATTTCACTCATTCAAACATACAAAGGCAGTATAAAAGGCTCATGGAATATGCATTTATGAGAAAGTATGCATGGATTCAATATCTTTCGCACCAAAATAATTATTTTTTCCTACAGTTTTTAAAAATGCCCTTATTTTGGAATAAGAAATAAAGAGAAATCCAAGAAGACACAGTCTGAAATATACTCTGAGAAAAATTGTGGAATAGAGAAAACGGACAAGTGCCATGAATGGAGTAGGCTAAGCTCTACACCCGATTAAGTCAGGAAAGGGCAAAGGTTCAGGTGATTCAGGGTGAAGGGTCCTGCAAAAATTCCATCAATGACAAGGCACAGAATCCAGACTACTTTAATTATAATAGCATTGTACCGTGCTTTGAAACCAGGATAATTATGATGGTTCCATTTTTTTGGGGGGGGGGCTTGTTTGCTTTTGCTCTGGCTATTTTAGCCCTTTTGTGATTCCTTCAGAATCTTACGATTGTGCTTTCCAATTCTAAAAAGAAAGTCATTGACTTACTACTCTGAATTGAAACTTATTAGATTGCTTCAGGTAATATAGACATTTTAATATTATCGACCCTTCCCATCCTTGACCATGGCATATTTTTTCATTTGTGTGTGTCCTCTATTATTTCCTTAATCAATGTTATATAGCTTTCATTGTAAATGTCTTTCACTTCTTTGGCTAAATTTACTTATAAGTATTTTGGTTTTTTGGAGCTCTTAAGAATGAAATTTATTTCTTTTTCAATAAGTCTGTTATTGATATGTAAGAATACTTTTATGGGTCTGGCACAATAGCATAGCTGCTAAAGTCCTCGCCTTGAATGCTCTGGGATCCCATATGGGCCCCGGGGTTCTAATCCTGCTGGCCTTGCTACCTATCCAGCTCCCTGCTTGCAGCCTGGAAAAGCAGTTGAGGACAATGCAAAGCTTTGGAACCATGTACCCACGGGGGAGACCCGAAAGAAGCTCCTGGCTCCTCGCTTTGGATTGGCTCATTTCTAGCCATTGCGACCGCTTGGGGAGTGAATCATCATTGCAAGATCTTCCTCTCTGATTCTCCTCCTCTCTGTATATTTGACTTTCCAATAAAAATAAACAAATCTTTAAAAAAAGAAAGAATGCTTTTATTTGTATACTGATTGTATATCTTGACATTTTGCTGAATTCATTTATTAGTACTATAAAACTTGGTGGAGCATGAAGGCCTTTCCATGTACAACAACATGTCATCTAAAAACATGGTTATAATACTGTATCAAAAAGAAGTTATGCAAATAGACATCTTTATTTTATTTCGGATAGTAGGGAGTAAACTTTAGGTTTTTCACATGAAAAACCTAGGTTTTTTTTCACATGAAGCATGATATTGGCTGTGGTTTTATTTATTATTATAATTTTGAGATATATTCCTTGCATACCTAATTGTTGAGTTTTTATTATGGAATATTGGTGTTATCTATTGTACGTATTGATTTACATATTTATTGATGTGTGAATTTTGAAAAATTATTGCATATCTAAGATAAATTCCATTTGATCTTGGGCCAGTGTAATGGCTCAGTGGCTAAATCCTCATCTTGAAACTTCTGGCTGCTGGATCTGGGCTGGCTCAGCTTGGCCACTGGGGCCACTTTGTGAGTGAACGAATAGATGAAAGATTTTTCTCTCCTCTCTCTTTCCAATAAAAACAAATAAATCTTGAATAAAAAAATTCCATTTGATTTAAGATATGTTTCAATTCTGTTGTATCTGTTGATTTTTCTGTCTAGAGTTTAAGCCTATTAATGAAATCTAATGCTCCCTTTAGAACTAGCCATATGGGCTCAAAGCAATGGCTAAATTGTCGTCTTATAAGTGCTGTGATTCCATATGGTTGTCAGATTACATCCTGGATGCTCCATTCTCCATCTAGCTCTCTGCTTATAGTCTGGGAAAGCAGTAGAGGATGGTCCAGCGCCTTGGGACCCTGCACCCATTTGGGAGACCTGGAGAAGCTCCTGTATCCTGGCATCAGATCAGCTTAGCTCTGGCTGTTGCAGCCATGTAGGGAATGATCCATTGGGTGCAAGATCTTTCTCTGTGTCTCTGCTCCATACATCTTATCTGTCTTCTAATAAAAACAAATAAATCCTAAAAAAAGAACTGGTCATATTTGCCTTATATATTTGGGTGGTCTGTTATTGGATATATGTATGTATATATTTCTAATAGCTTTATGTTGTTACAGAATCAGTTATCGGCATGTAATTACCTTCTTTTTCCTTTTAAAGCATTTAAAAATGTATTTATTTTTACTTATTTTGAAAGGCAGAGTCATACACATATATACACAGACACACAAACCAAGAGAGAAAGAGAAGGAGAGAAGAGGACAAAGAAGAGAGTAGAGAGAGAGAAATCATCCTTCTGGTGACTTATCTCCAAACGTGACAAGAGCCAGGACTGTGGGATGCTGAAGCTAGGAGTTAGGAATTCAATCCAAGTATCTCATGGTTGGCAGGGACAGATGTTTGAGCCATCATCTGCTTCTTGCGAGGATGCCTATCAGCTTAGGGAGCTGGATCAGAAAGCAAAGGCAGGAGTTGAGCTCGACAGTGTGGGCTAGACAGTGGGGTTGGTCAGGCTATGCTGGGTTCCAACACCCTTTGATGCATTCAAAAGCTGAATGGGATACAGGACTAACTGGATCAGTTTGCTTCACATACAGTCATATGCAAAAACCAAGGTTGGGGTGGGTTTGTTTGGGGTTATTGGGGGTCAATCTTACTAGGCTGCAGTTCCCCTGGCATACCTCAGGGCAGAGTATGTAGTGGGCAGGTTTGGGCTGGGCCCAGCAGCCATTGGTTTGTGTATGAGTTGGGCTGGGGACAGAACTGACCAGATGACTTCAGCCAACAATGTGTGTAGGCTTATGTGATTGATGAACTGAACTGGACCCCCTACTGGCTGGCACACACAGAGGTCAGGTTGGGGTCATCTCTGGTGGTTTCTTTGGGGACCTCCCCAATTAAATCACTAGACTCAGAACTCCAGTCTTGGGGAAAACCACAGAATCTGTGGTCTGACCGTAAAGTACATGTGTCAGACCTGGGTCTCCGCAGTTGCTGAGGACTGTGCAGTGGATGGCATGCCCAGATGCTCATGTAGGCCATGGAAACAAGTTCTTTGATGCCTACAGAGGATGTCTAGTACCATGGAAGGCAGAACAAATTAGACATTTCTCCTGGTCAAGCTTTTTGACATTGAGTAGCTGGGTGAATGGAGACTAAGGTGAACTATATGAGCAGATAGACCTTGGAGGGACTTCATCAACCTTGGCGAAATGAAATCAACAGCATCTCAGAAATATTGAAGCCGCTTAAGCAGCACCCTGAGAACAAGCTCTACATCAGGGACCATGGGATGACATCAGGTGGCTATCTCCTGGGAGCAGCCCTTTCCCCTTCTCTCCCTACTTTCCCCAGACACAAGAAGAAAAAAGGAGATTGGAGGCGGTTTTTCCATCTACTTCCTGCCATTCCTCAACCTCTGCCACTCTAATTGGTGGTCACCATGGGTGTGCATCCCTATCAGCCATGCAAATATCAAAAAATAAAAAGAATTATTGTTGGTTTAAAAAAGGCCTGTTCCCATCTACTGTAAGGAATGCACTTTACTTGCTATAATAAATTTCTGCTGCTACACTGTGCTGTTTATCATTAAGCTCGCTGCTTAGGCTCAAAGAACTTGACCTTTACACAACACCTTGACTCTTACAAGATGGATAGTGAGAAGGCACATCTCTACATTATTTTGTAGCAAAAGACATAAAAACGGTGCTTTTTTATAGAGATACTTAGTAATTGGTGAGTGCCAACAATGTTGAACTTGATGTTACCAATTATTATGATGGTTCAGATGAGTAAATTGAAGTCCAGTGAGAGAAATGATTGCTTCAGATAACACAAAACTCACGTGTCAGATAGCTCTATGCACCGTATTTCAGTATACAAATGTATTCTGAATCAGTTTCCTTATTTTTTTTTTAGCATGCAATCGAGAAGAAAGACCACACTTACCAACCTTGGGAGAATGTACATAATTCTGCTTGCTTTTGAACTAGAATATACCTTGAGTCCATGGAAATAATGATGTTACATGAAGAAGAAGAAGAAAGTTCACTGAACCTCCTGTTCAAATACCATATTGTTCTCAAGCCTGATAAATCTTTACAGATTATACAGTTTAGAGTCCTTGTTCCAATCAAACATAGAGGCTTAATAAGAACAGAAAGGAGGAATGGAATTGGCTGGGGAAACACAAGAAGGAGACAGATCAAGAATGGATACCCATGAAGGACCCGCATGCCTACATTCCCCATCTTCCCAGCATTTTCTTCAGGGCCTTGGCTACTTCCCGGTTCCTCAGGCTGTAAATAAGTGGATTGAGCATTGGGGTGAGGATGGTATAGAAGATGGAGGTGGCCCTGTCTCTCACTGGGGTTCTAGTTGAGGCCCGCTGCATGTAGCTAAAGATAGCTCCTCCATAATAAAGGCCTACCACAGCCAGGTGTGAGGAGCAGGTGGTCAAAGCCTTCTGTTTCCCTTCAGTGGACGGCATCCTAATCACAGTTGTGAGGATACGAGCATAGGATGCCACAATGACCCCAAGAGGAAGTAGCAGCATGACCACACAGCACACATAGATGAGGTCCTCGAAAAGTGAAGTGTCAGCACAAGAAAGACGCAACAGGACGGGTACCTCACAGAAGAAGTGGTCCACCTTCAGAGATCCACAGTAAGGAAAGCTGAAGACCACAGCTACATCAACCACGCTGTCAGCCATCCCACCCATCCAGGATGCCAAGGCCAGGAGATAGCAGGTCTTCCACTTCATGAGCACAGGATATCGCAGAGGGTGGCAGATTGCCACAAACCGGTCATATGCCATGACTGCCAAGAGAAAGCACTCAGCTCCTCCCACCATGACTACCAGGAAGACCTGAGCTGCACAGCCTCCCTTCGAGATGAGCTGATAGTCCAAGAGGAAGTTGGCCACCATCTTGGGTACCACAGTGGTCATTATGGTCAGGTCCATGATGGAGAGCAGGCTCAGGAAAAAGTACATAGGGGTGTGCAGGTGCCTATCTGCCTGGATGAGCAACAGGAGGAGGATGTTGCTGACCAGAGCAACAACAGAGGCCAGAAAGACCAGGGAAAAGAGGAAGGAGACGTAAGGGGAATGGCCGAACAGGCCCAGGAGGATGAAGTCTGAGAGGGAGGTGTGGTTCCAGAGCCTCGTCGCCATCACCCTGAGAAACAAGCAAAAGGACAAACAAATAAACCAAACAATCCAACTAGCATCTTGAATGCATAAAGAAATAAACTTATTTCTTACAAACAGCAAAGACTAGCTAGCCCTTAGATATAGCCCGGCCCTTTCCTCAGGCTGTAAGAATTTTATTTCCTCCAAGCTGACCTGGAGATTTGATCCTTACTTCTATTGAAATAGAAGGGATCAGGTATACAGAGCCGGGAAACAGAAAATACACTGAATGCCTGGCACGGTAGCCTAGTGGCTGAAGTCCTTGCCTCGCACATGCCAGGATCCCATATGGGTCCTGGTTCTAATCCTGGTGGCCCTGCTTCCCATCCAGCTCCCTGCTTTGTGGACTGGGAAAGCAGTCGAGGATGACTCAAAGTCTTGGGACCCTGCACTGGGTGGGAGACTCAGAAGAGGCTCTTGGCCCCTGGCTTCAGATTGGGTAAGCTCTGGCTGTTGTGGCCGCTCGGGGGAGTGAAGCATCAGATGGAAGATTTTCCTCTCTGTCTCTCCTCCTCTCTTTATATATCTGACTTTGCAATAAAAACAAATAAATCTTCTTAAAAAATAAAGGAAGAGGCTTTCCCCCATCTTATCTTAGACCACTTACTTTAGAAAAACATAGTAATTTGGGCCCGGCACGATAGTGTAGCTGTTAAAGTCCTCGCCTTGAATGTGCCAGGATCCCATAAGAGTGCCGGTTCTAATCCCGATGGCCCCACTTCCCATCCAGCTCCCAGCTTGTGGCCTGGGAAAGCAGCAGAGGACAGCCCAAAGCTTTGGGACCCTGCACCTGGAAGAGCTTGGAAGAGCTCTTGACTCCTCACTTCAGGTTGGGGCAGCTCTGGCCATTGCGGTAACTTTGGGATTGAATCATCAGATGGAAGGTCTTCCTCTGTTTCACCTCCTCTCTCTCTATCTGCCTTTCCAATAACAAAAATCTTAAAAAAAAAAAAACAACAAAGAAAACTTAGTAATTCATAGGTAAATGTTTGATGTGATTAAAAAGTCCCTGGTTGAATGCCTAAATCCCATATCGAAGTTCCCGGTTCAAAGCCCAGCTAAGGCCACACTGCCGCTGCTGCTTCTTAATTTTTTAAAGAGTTACGTATTAATTTACTAAATTTAAAAACAGTAATGAGGAAGGAGGAAGAGATGAAAGAGAGTAATAAAGCGAGGAATCAGAGAAAGAGAGAATCTTCATCCTCTGCTTCAGTCTCCAACAGCCAGCTGGGTCAGATCACAGCCAGGATTCAGGAACTCCGTCCAGGTCTCCTAAATGTGAGAGGCCAAGGTTTAAGTGCTTTGGCAATCCTTTATAGCTTTCCCTGGCACAATAGGAGAAAGCTGGATTAGAAGCAGAGTAGCTGGGACCTAAACTGGCATTCTGCTTTGGGATGCCATCATCACAAATGGCAGCTTAACTCACCGTGCCATATTATCAGAGCCCACTCTCACTTCTTCTTCTTTTTAAAAGATCAATTCATTTTTATTAGAAAGACAGACAGAGAGGAGGAGAAACAGAGAAGATCTTCTGTCCATTGGTTCACTCCCCAAGCAGCTGCAACGGCCGGAGCTGAGCAGATCTGAAGCCAGGAATCAAGAGCCTCCTCTGGGTCTCCCACATGGGTGCAGGGTCCCAAGGCTTTGGGCCTTCCTCAACTGCTTTCCAATTATCTGTCAGGTCCTTTTTTTATCCCCTCAGCACTTTCCACTCCCAGCCAGTTCTCCGCAGCTCACCTTCTGCTTGACTGTACAAATCCAATATTTAGCAATGGGTGAGCAAGTGTTGGCCTGAAGACGGTTCCTCAAACCACTCTCTTCCCCTCAATCCACTGCTCAAATCTATAAATTTATTAAACCGTATACACATTTACCCAAGATGTTCTATTTCTTACAAAGTCGATACGAACTCGTGCCTCTGGTTTCTCTGGTCTCTAGTTACAGAGCAGATGTCTTGGGATATCCAGCATGGTTTATAATCATGCCAGGGAATAAACAGAAGCTCCACACCAAGAAAAAAAGCCAGAATTAATGAATTGGTTTTAGGACTAAGTTCATTTCTCATAGTCCCAGCTCTGAAGAATACCCCAGACTTGCATCTAAACGAATAAAGCCCTGTGGGACTGATACATTCACTATTGTTCTCTAAAGGGAATCTTCACCTTCACATTACCCATGAGTCACATCAAGTTTACATTACCTGTGTAACATCAAGACACCATTGAATGTGAGAGAACAGTTTAATCTATACTCTGAGAGTATGTCAATGAATTGCAGCAAGTGGATCTTCATCAAATATTCTCTGAATCTTGTCTCTAACTGTTGCTCTATGCCTTAATTGTCCTCAATCATTGATTAATCATTGGTTGTTCAGTGGCTAAACATTGAGTACCATGGGAAAAAAGAAGACTTGTCCACTAAAAAAAGCGAAACACAATTTGTTCAATTTTCAATAACAAAATAGTTGTTCGGTCATTGGCACTGTAGCACTCCAAGGGAGACATGAGAGTGGAAAGCTTTAAAAAGAAGCTTCTAGCAAGAGAAGGTTTCAGGTGTACTTAGATTGGAGGCTGTTGGCACGGACAAGGAGTTAGAATAGACAGAAGGAAGGAATCCTATGTGCTTTTCTTAAAGGATGTATATCTTGGGTTTTTTTTTTTCCAGGTTGAGACTAAGTTAAAAACAGGAAAAAATAGAGAAGCTGTCAGTTATTTTAGAGTTTGGGCCATTTTGACTATTGTTACATAAGTTATTGTTTGGCTTCCTGGATTGTTACCAAGGATAGCAATATGATTTCCTACATGATTGGCTTCCCAGATCATTTACTGTGGAAAAGGAAGTTAGTTTCTGGAGCAGGATGCTGCAGATTGTGGGTCAAAGTTCCATTTTTAGTTCTATTGCTTGTTTTTATATTGTATCTCATCACACATCAGTATGACATTGAAAACTGACTATTAACAAAAGTAGAGCCAGCAAGTCTATCTATTCTGTCTACGTGAAAACTCTTCTTTCATGTGAGACAAGAAAAAAAGGTTGCTGTCAGGAGGCCGGCTTGGTAGCCTAGTGGCTAAAATCCTTGCCTTGCATGCACCGGGATCCCATATAGGAGCTAGTTCGTGTCCCAGCAGCTCCACTTCCCATCCAGCTCCCTGCTTGTGGCCTGGGAAAGCAGTAGAGGCTGGTCCAAAGCCTTGGGACCCTGCACCTAGAAGAAGCTCCTTGCTCCTGGCTTCAGATCAGCTCAGCTCCGGCCATTGCAGACACTTGGAGAATGAAGAAAAAGAGTTAAAACCAATCACCGCAGCAGTAGGGAAACAGGCATTATTGGGGTTAAGTCAGAAGAACCCAAAAGGGAGAGCAGGTTAGGCAGCGGGTGAAAATGGAGAAAGGCAAGATGGTGGGCAGGGTCCTATCACATGCAGGAGAAAGGCAAGATGGCGGACAGGGTCCTGCCACATGGAGGAGACAGACAAGATGGTGGAGAGGATCCTGTCACATGGAGGAGAAAGGCAAGATGGTGGATGGGATTCTGGGAGGGGAGCAGGGAAGATGGGATCAGGGCAGGAAGCGGAGAGAAGGGGCTTGGGAACATGGTGTCCCGCAGTTAGTGAAGGATATGGAGGAGGATGGTTCTGAGAGGGGGAGGGTGAACCAGGGAAAATGGGAGGTAGAGCAGTCAGAGTTCTTGGGCAAGGAAGGACAGGGACCCTTTGTGCGGCTGTGGCAGCAAGGATTCTCCGCACAGTGGGAGAAAGAAGGAACAAAGAGAAGGATGGGATTAGGTGGAATACGGTGTGGGCAAGGGATGAGAGTAGACGGAATAAGGGCGGGGTGGGAGGAGAAGCGTTTGGGAACATGGTGGAGAAATAGAAGGTGAAGCAAAGGTGACATTGGAATCCAGAGCAGGCTCAGGAAGTGAAGAGGGAGTCTGGAACCATGACAGAAGGACCGGGAGTGGAGAAGAGGTGAGCGAAGAGGAGGTGACCTTGGAACATGGCGGAGGGTGGAGGGGTAACGTAGAGGCGGATGGGCCGAAGGCTCAGAGAACGAGGTATAAGGCAGCTGGCAGAGGAGGTGGGGGAGGAGAAGAGGCAGTTGGGGTGAGTCCTAAAGGTTCTGGCAGCTTGGAAAAGGAGTGGTGAGGTGAAAAGTCCAGGAGAGCCTTGGGAGACAGGGCGGGTTTAGCCTTGGCCGGGAGACCCTGAGTTGTGGAACAGGGGGAGCACAGGGAAGGGCAGGAGCGGAGATTCCAAAAAGCTTCCACATGTGGAGGCCATTTACCCTTGCAACGACAGAAATTACCCAATTCCGTGAGGATCTGAAAGTCAAATGTGCCTTCCACCAGCCACTTGGAGCCATTGTCCAACACATACTGTGGCCAGGCCACGGTTGAAAAATGGACAAGGCGTTTTCAGTGTAAGTTCTGGCTCAGACCCAGACTTTTAAAATCAATCAATAAACACTCCAAGTGGTGTAGGAGTTGTGGGCTCAGGATATTTTATTACCCATCCTGTCCCGATAAAGTATCTCGCTGCTAATCTAAACACAAACAAGGCGTCCCCGCTTTGAAATTAAGACTAGTAGAGAACCTGGTTCCCCGTTAAGGAGGGCCAGTCGGGGGGTGGGTGGATGGGTCTCATGCCCCACTTAGGGCCCTGGATTGGTGGGGGCCGGTCAGGTACCAGGGCGTCCCCCGTCTCGCTGAGGGCTCAGCACAGGCAGACCACGTGTACACGGTTTGGGGGTTCTGCAGGAGGTTGGGGAGGACAGGAGGAGCAGGGCCGAGGGGCTTACCTCACGTCTGTCGCTTCGCAGCGGTCAAAGGCCTTGGGGCTGGCAGCTCGCAGGTGGGAAGAGGAACAGGGGGCTCAACCAGTTCAGGGAGCCCTTGCACCCCTTCCCGGGATTTGGCACCAAATGATAGATGATGACCACCGCCCGCCCGCCTGCTGGTGGAATAATATCAGCAAGTTGTCCATAGT